GCTGTGTCAGAGCCTCCCCCGCCTCCCTCTGCCTCCTGTAGCCTGGGCCTGACGGCAGCCCCCGTGTGACTGGGGACTCCTGGATAGCCCTGTTATCTCTGGCCTGCAGCTGGCTGGGAAGTGGGGCTGGCAGGTGGGGCTGGGGGTGCCCAGGCAAGCCCTGGCGGCCACTTTGGACAGCTTCCGTGTCCCTGCTGGGACACGCCTGAGCGAAGGGCCTGTGAGCGCCGGGTGGGGCGTGCTGGAGCGGGCCTGCCTGTCCCAGGGGTGCCCAGCCCGGCCCCAAGGGGTTTCACTGTCAGCCTCGCACCCCGAAACCACACCCTACATCTTAACCTGCTCCCAGAGGTGTCCCTGCCCCGGACACACAGCCCCCCTCTCCTGGGGGAGCACTGGGGCCATGTGGGAGCTTCTCATTTCGGACGCGGGAGCGGGGGGAGCTGACCTTGAACATCAGCACAGTCCCTGCTCCTTGTCCACCGGATGTGGGTCTGAGGCCAGGCTCGGCCTCCTAGGGGCAGGGGGCTGAGCAGGAAGGAGCCCTCTGTCCTGTCGGCTGGGACTCGGGAGCACCCCTGGGGTCTGAGCAGGGTGGGAGGTCGGGACCCACCTCCAGGCATCGTGTCCCTCAAAGGCCCCTGTGGCTCTCTCCCTCCTCCATCCCCAAAACTCCCTTGGCCCTGATGCTTAGAGACCTTTGGGGCTAGGGGCTCCTCCTGGTGCCCGAGGCCAGGCAGCACGCTGGCGCGGAAGAGGTTTGGGAGCCTGGTTCCTGCCTGGCAGAGCCCCACCCCAGGGAAGACCCCACCTGGAGAAGAGTTGGGACTGTTGGCAGGAAAGCAGAGAGGCTTGACTCAGGCCTCCCTCAGTTTACTCCTCTGGGACCTGGAAATAGCAGTGGCGGCCTCAAGGAGGAAGTGCCCCGCTGCCCGGTGAAGCCCGCAGGGCCCGCCGGAGGGGAGGTCTGTGTGCCGCCTGGCCCCAGGCTTCCCTGTCTCATAGGAGTGGACTGAACTGAGGATGCTGGTGGTACCCCAAAGCCATAGGTGGCTGAGGGCCAAGCTGGAAGCTGGCCTGGCAGTGCCGACCTATAATTCTGTTGGCATCTTTGATTCCGGAGCTGGGAGCCTAGCAGTTTCCACAGCCTGACCATGTCCCTTCTCCGGGGCCTGAGTCCCTGACTGAGTATGTCCTCCCAGCCAGGATTTGGCGCTCTTAGAACATCAGGCTGAGTCCTGACGAAACCTCAGGGCCCGATGTGACCCTGACATTGACAGAGACCTGGGCAGCTGAGGGCCACTGCTGGGAGACGGCGTCCTCATACTGCCCTGACAGCTCTCCTGGGACCTCAGCCCCTTCCTGAGGCTAAGCAAACGTATGTTCTGATTGGCTGCTGCTCTGTCACTTAAGCCTATGTGCAAGTGGCCTCACAACCAAAACAAAACAGCAGAGCCCACTTGGCCCAAGACGCCTTGTCTCCCGGCCACTAGCCAGCTGGCTAAGCCCTGGAACTTGGCCCAGGCCTGCCAGGCAGCTGGCGCGTCCATGCTCACTGGCCTTTCCTGCCTAGAGCCAGGGAGTGTGTTATGGGCGTCCACGGGTACCAAGTGCCCAGGTCCCACTGGGGCTGAGATGGCCTCTCCAGAGGGCTGCAGGGTGGGGGGCAGGGCGCGCTCCCCTCCACCTCTCACTGTACCTTCTGTGTCCTGCAGGAGATGGCAAATTCCGTCTACCTGGTCATGGAGGTGAGTCCCTGTAGGCCTGGCTATAAGGACAAGGGGCCAGGCGCTCCCAGCCCTTGGATCCCTGTCACCGGGGGCAGGGCAGGCTGCATTGCCCTACGTCTACGTGTCAGTGGGCTCAGCAGGTGCCTGGGGGTGGCAGGTGCCCCTGTTGGCCTCTCCAAACACAGATTGCAGGGGACACCTGCCCCGGGAAGGAGGTGGGTGCCTGAGTGCCCAGGGGTCAGGCGTAGGATGGCGGGGGGACCTGGGCAGGCTTGGAGGGTCTGCCCTGGCTGCTAAGTGGGATGTGTGGCTGGTCTTTTGCAGTACTGTAACGGCGGGGACCTGGCTGACTACCTGCACAGTAAGTAGACACCCTATGGCCAGGTAGGGTGCACACCCAGGCCCACTCTGACCCAGCCTGTGCGGTGGGCCGGCGTGAACGAGCCTCCCAGGGACAGCCTTGCGGGGCAGGGCTGGTCCGGATGTGCCTGTGCTGAGCGGGCCTTCCAGGTGGCCCTGGTGGCTGCGCTGCTGGGTGCCCGCCTGTCCTGAGCACTCTGGGTTCCCAGGGCGCTGCCACAGGTGGGGGGCAGCCCCTTCTGCACTCGCCCCCCGCTCCATCAGTTCGTCCAGCCCCTCCACTGTGTGAGAACCAGGCCCGGAGCTCATCACAAGGCCGCCGGCTGTGAGCCCGGCCTTGAGTTGCTGCTGAGAAGTAATGAAACTGAGCAAGGGGCAGGGTGTGCTGGATAGCAGCAGGGGGCTGCCAGGCAAGGAGGTGACAGTGAATAGGTCGGAGCTGGGCTGGTGGCATGTGGGGAGGAAGGTGCTAGATAGGGCCGCAGATGGGCGGCCCAGGGCACCCTGGGGTGGACAGGAGCGCGTGCCTGCAGTGGGAGTGACACCAGGCAGGAGGCCCCTCCAGCAGGGCGGGTCCGCGTGGTCCCTGTACCAGCAGGCTCGCAGGCCATGAGCGCCGTCTCCCCACAGCCATGCGGACGCTGAGCGAGGACACCATCCGGCTCTTCCTGCAGCAGATCGCGGGCGCCATGCGGCTACTGCACAGCAAGGGCATCATCCACCGCGACCTCAAGCCCCAGAACATCCTGCTGTCCAACCCCAGCGGGCGCCGCACCAACCCCAACAACATCCGCGTCAAGATCGGTGAGGCCTGGGCAGGGCGGTGGGCGGCAGGGCACTGAGCGGCGGGGTGCTGCGGGCCGGGGCCGGGGCCACCCCGCTTACATCCTCGTCACCCACAGCCGACTTCGGCTTTGCCCGGTACCTCCAGAGCAACATGATGGCGGCCACGCTCTGCGGCTCCCCCATGTATATGGTAGGTGGGCGGCCCACGGCCCTGCTGCCAGTGGGAGGGGTGGTGGTGCGGGGCTCCTCTCCCTGTGTCCAGAGCTGAGCCCTGTCCTGCGGCCTCGCTGCGCGCGGTTAGCCAGCACGTGTTTGCCACCCCCTCTACGGTGATTGGCTGGCACCAGGCTGGTGTGGGTTTTGATTGGCAGCAGGCTTTTGTCATCGAACACTCAGTGTCCGTTCTTGCTGGAACCCTGACCTGTCTTTCCAACACGCTGCAGGCCCCTGAAGTGATCATGTCGCAGCACTATGACGGGAAGGCCGACCTGTGGAGCATCGGCACCATCGTGTACCAGTGCCTGACGGGGAAGGCTCCCTTCCAGGTGCGCGAGCCCAGGTCCCAGGTGGGCTAGTGCCAGTCGTTATAGGCCTGCAGCCTTCCCTCACCAGGGTGAGGCGGCCTCCCAGCTCCCCACCGTGCAGTCGCCTCAGGGCCGAGACCAGAGTGACCCCTGGTCCTGGGGTGCATTCGCGTGCGTCTGTGTGTATGTCGTGAGCCAAGTCCACAGCCTCCCTCCTGCCCATGCCAAGGCTGTGGGACCCAGCAAATTGGTGTCAGGACCCCAGGCCTGGGGTGGCACTGCATCCTGCAGGCCTGCACTTCCTGTGGTGATCTCACGGTCTGACCTGGTGGTCCTCGGTTCTGTCGCCAGCCTGCCCCACAGCGTCTGCTGGCATAGCCGCCCCACGCCAGGGGGCAGGGCGCACGCTTGTTCTCGGCTGCCCCCGGTGCCTGGCACACAGCAGTGCTCAGTGAGTGGCAGATGAACGGGCAGACGTGCGCCAGCTCTGCCCACCGGGCGCCAGCTCTGCCCACCGGGCGCACTGCCCTCCATGAGGGCCAGCTCCTTCTGGGCCCTTCCAGGGCTGGGGTGTGCGGCCACTCTCTGATCCAAAGAAGCAAACACCCGGTCTCACCCGACACCTGGCAGCCCTGCAAGCCGGATCGCCTTCGTGCGGTCCCTGTCCCTTTGTGCAGTCACAGCCCCGTCCCCAGAAGGGTCAAAGGTGTGCCGTCCCGGCCGAGTGTCCGGCAGCGGGGGCCCCTCACACCACCGTCTCCCACCAGGCCAGCAGCCCCCAGGACCTCCGCCTCTTCTACGAGAAGAACAAGACCCTGGTGCCCACGTGAGTGCTCCTCCCCGTCCCCTCCCCCGTCCCCGCTCCTGGGGCCCAGGCTGACCACGTCCCGACCCCCGCAGCATCCCCCGGGAGACATCCGCTGCGCTGCGACAGCTGCTCCTGGCCCTGCTGCAGCGCAACCACAGCGACCGCATGGACTTCGGTGAGCGCCGCCGGCCCTGCCCCCGAGGGCCCTCCGGGTGGGGGCAGGTGGGTCCCGGGGCCTGCAGCTCCTTCCCAGCAGCACAGGCGGTGGACCCCAGCTCTGCAGTGCGAAGCTCTGCTGGGAGCAGCACGTGGGCGGGGCCGGGGGGCCAGCCGTACTTGGGGGCCACCCGCTGGGGCTCGGTGCCCCCTGAGGCCTCGCCCCTCACCCTCCCTCCTGCAGATGAGTTTTTCCAACACCCCTTCCTCGATGCCAGCGGCTCCGTGAAGAAGTGTGAGTCCCCACGGGCCGGGGCCTTCCCAGGAGGGCGGTCCTGGGGTGAGGGCTGCCCCCGCCGCGGTCCCCAGGTCCCTGACCCGCCCGTGCCCGCAGCCCCGCCCGTGCCCGTGCCCTCACGCCCCAGCTCGGGCTCCGGCAGCAGCTCCAGCAGCAGCCCCACCTCGCACCTGGCCTCGCCACCGGTGAGTGCCCGCTGGGGCCAGGCTGCGTGCCTGTCCCTTGGGTTGGGAGTGTGCGGACACCCTCCCTACCTGGGCCGGCTCTCAGTGGCCCCTACTGTGACCCGCAGTCGCTGGGCGAGATGCAGCAGCAGCTGCAGAAGACGCTGACCTCCCCGGCCGAAGCCGCCGGCTTCCTGCAGGGCTCCCGCGACTCAGGTGGCAGCAGCAAGGACTCGTCCTGTGACACCGACGACTTCGTCATGGTCCCAGCCCAGTTTCCAGGTGCGTGCCTGGGGGACCCCGTGTGTACGTGCTCGCAGGCCTGTCTCCACCCACAGGCCTTCGTGGGGGTCCTGGGAGCTTCCACATGGCAGCCCGCCTGCAAGTCCCTCCTGTGGTCAGCGGGTGGTCCGTGGGCCTGGGCCTGCCCTCCCCCGCCCCGCCCAGCCTACTTGTCCTCGGCGCACCTTCCACAGCCCTACCTGTCGCCTCCCCTCAGCTGCTGGAAGCCCCCCCAGTACTAGCCCCAGGGGTGTTCAGACCCCCGGGGTGGGCCCGGCGCTCCCAGAGCCCCGTCCTGGGGTCCTCAGTGCCCCTCGTGGCCCTGGACACTGACACTGCCTCTTGCTGTCCCTGGCCACCCGAGACCCCTGGGCCAGTGCTGGGTCAGAGTGTGTCAGCTCGGCTCAGGCAGGGAGGAGCGGCCTGCCCTAGCGTCGGGCAGCATGAGGAGGACGGTGGGAAGACGGGCCAGCTGTGGGGTCCGGACCCTGGACCAGGGTCGGGCTCAGATCCGAGCTCTGGACACTTGGCCTGCAGCAGGCCAAAGGCTGGGGGAGGTGGGGGATTCCAGGGGGTCCCTTGAGAACCCTAATATCCAGACAGGCAGAGGGAGTTCCCAGCATGAGTGATGGAGGTGGGCACACGAGAGCGCTGTCCCCCGGCCCCCCAGGCAGCAGCACCCTTGCCTCCCAAAGCTGCCCTGCCAGCAGCCCCACCCTGTGCCTGGGTCTCACGTGGAGCCATCAGGGAGCCTCAGTGGGTGAGGTGGCCTGGGAGGGCAGAGTGGACACTGGTCCCGATTCGAGAGATGCTCGGGCCCAGCTTTGCTTGTTTCTTGTCTGCAGGGGACCTGGTGGCCGAAGCAGCCGGTGGCAAGCCCCCGCCGGACAGCCTGATGTGCAGTGGGTAAGCTCGCCCCGAGCCCCCTTGCCGCGGGGAGGGCCGTGCTGGCTCAGAGCGGCTCTCCAGCCACGCCTCAGGGCCAGCAATTCGGGAAGGGCTAGGCCGCTGTGCCAGGTGCAGGGCGGGCCCCAGGGAGGGGCCAGGGTCTGTACCCACGTTAGGCTGCCTGTCTGCTTTGTTCCCCCCAGGAGCTCGCTAGTGGCCTCGGCTGGCCTGGAGAGCCACGGCCGGACACCGTCTCCGTCCCCACCCTGTAGCAGCTCCCCCAGCCCCTCTGGGTGAGCATGGACCTGGGCCCGGGAGGTTGCGAGTGGGTCCGGAGCCAGACTTAGGGCTCCCCCAGCCCTGAGTCAGCCATGCAGGTGGCATTTGTGTCCAGAAGCCCTGTCTTCATTTGGGCCTGGTAGGACACCGGGCTCCTTGTGGGTGGCCCAGCAGACAGGACCGGGCTGGAAAGAAGTATTCCAGGGGGTGGGTGGCTGCGGGAACCGTCGGTGACCAGCACTGCCAGTACCCTTGGGCCTGCAGGCTGGGTGGGCATGGGCTCCCAGAGTGGGCAGAAGCTGGCTCAGCCTTGCTGGCCTCTGCCCCACCTCCTACAGTGTGTCCCATGGCAGGTCCCAACCAGAAGCTGCCTGGGCACGGACAGTGGCAGGGGCGGGGTGCGAGCAGTCCCTGTGCCTGGACGGCAGCGGCGCTGGGCGTGTGAGGTTCAGCCCAGCGCCAGCTCTCCAGTGACACCTTCCATCCGCCGTGTCCCGACCCACACAGGCGGGCCGGCCCGTTCTCCAGCAGCAGGTGCGGTGCGTCCGTGCCCATCCCAGTGCCCACGCAGGTGCGGAACTACCAGCGCATCGAGCAGAACCTGCAGTCGCCCACCCTGTACCAGACCCCACGGTGAGTACGGCACTGCGGTGGCACCCTTGCCGCCCCTCAGGCTGCACTGAGTCAGCACCGCTGTTCACTGGGCAGCCCGGGCGTGCAGGCGGATGGCAGCTTTCCGGCAGATGTCAATACCGTGTTTTGAGTTACAAAACTGTATTGATTTTGGCAAATTTCAACAGACAGAAATAAACAAAAGAAGCGAGCACCTTCTTGTGACTCATAGAAGGCCCCGTGGGCTAGAGGTTATCGACTCCGGGCCTGAGGGTGGCAGGGAGGACACTGGGGCCCCCCACCCCATCATCGTCGTGCCAGCGGCAGGGTGAAGGGATGAGCCGCTGGGCGTGGCCGGGGCCTCACTCCCCGCTGCCGCTCGTGTCCCCAGGTCCTCCGCCATCCGCAGGTCAGACAGCACCAGCCCCCTGGGCTTCGCACGGGCCAGTCCGTCGCCCCCGTCCCATGCCGAGCCTGGAGCCACGCTGGCCCGGAAACTGTCCCTGGGTGGAGGCCGGCCCTACACACCGTTTCCACAAGGTGAGCTGGGGCGCAGCCTCTGAACCAGGGCCGGACGGGGCGTCTCCACACGGTGGGGGAGCCCTCTCCATCGGGGGTGTTGATCTTGGCATATCCTTTCCCCTAAGTTGGAACTATCCCCGAGCGGCTTGGCTGGAGCGGGGTGCCCTCCCCCCAAGGCGCTGAGATGCGGGCTGGCAGGTCCCCTCGTCCAGGTAGGTGCAGCCCTGGCCCCTGGGGCATGAGCATGGTGGACCTGGGGAGTGGTGCGGGAGCCCCACCGGCCGCCCACGCTTGGGGTGGGGAGGCGTTCCTGTTCCCAGGGCCTTCATTCCTCACAAGTAGGAGGATCGGAAATCCTGTGGGACCGACTGGCATTCCAGTCCACGCTGCGTGATGTCGGGCCGGTGTTCCTCTGTGCCTGTCTCCTCGGGCGCGTGGTAGAGCATAGGGACACTACTGCACGGGTGGCCGTGAGCTTACAGAGCGTAAGGAGCAGGCGTGGAGCCTCCGTACGCGCTCCTGGTTGGTGGCATGTGGGCTGGGCAGACGGTGACCGGCTGCGCTGTCCCATCCTAGGCTCCTCTGTGCCTGAGCACTCTCCCCACACCACGGGGCTGGGCTGCCGCCTGCACAGTGCCCCCAACCTGTCTGACCTGCACGTCATCCGCCCCAAGCTGCCCAAGCCTCCGACAGACCCACTGGGGGCTGCGTTCAGCCACCCGCAGGCCAGCCCCCCACCGCCGCCCCACGGGCTGCAGTCTTGCCGGCCCCTGCGTGGTTCGCCCAAGCTGCCCGACTTTCTGCAGCGGAACCCCCTCCCCCCGATCCTGGGCTCCCCCACCAAGGTAACCGAAGTAATGCCCCAGAGTTCCCCAGTGGGTGGGGGTGCCCCCCGGGAGAGAGAGCTCGCACTGAATGTCCGTGTGCCCACCCCTGCTTGGCCACCCAGTCCTTTGCCTACAGGGTTTACATGGGACGTGGGGGCCCCTAAAAACCAGAAGCGGCCCGATTAATGCCAAGACCTTTCGTACTGGCTCCACAAGCCTCGCTGCCTCATGGTCCTGTGGCAGAGACGGTGTGGCTCAGAGCCCAGGAAGCGTGCTGACCCTGGTCCAGTGTCCAGGCTGGAAGTTGTGTAGTCCGTCCCCCGGGGTCAGTTTTCCTGTCCGTGAAACGGCCAGAAGCTGTAGCCGCCTCCTGGTGTTGCCGTTGGGGCACAGGGCACGTGTGCACGCAGCACCGTCCTCCAGCGTGGTGCTGGTGGCCACATGTAGGTCTCCTGCCTCTGCCAAGAGCGCGGGGTCGTGGAAGTTTGGGGCCCTGTGGCTGGGGTCTGGCAGACGCAGGCCAGTGCGGCCCAGCCGCCGGGGTGTTCATGGTGGCATGGGGGGCCCAGTCTGGGGCCGCCCTCAGCACCCCACTTCCCTCCTAGGCCACGCCTGCGTTTGACTTTCCCAAGACCCCCAGCTCCCAGAGCTTGCTGAGCCTCCTGGCCCGGCAGGGCGTGGTCATGACACCCCCTCGGAACCGGACGTTGCCTGACCTCTCAGAGGCAGGTCCTTTCCCGGGCCTGGGCCCTGGCCTGCGCCCCACAGAGGACACCAAGGGCCCCTTTGGCAGGTGAGTGTGCAGGACCCAGGGGTGTTGGTCATCTGCTCCCACCTGCAGTCTGGAGTGGGGTGGGCCTCTGGTGGGAGCCCGGCCTGTACCCCACTGAGCCTCAGTCTGCTTGTCTGTTTGAGGGGTGACAGTGCTTGCTGTGTGCATGCCTGGCGGTCGGCAAGCACTGGTAAGGCTGGTCATGGCGGCAGGCCTGCCTCCGGCAGTACGGCCCGGCGCCCACCCAGGTGGCTCAGCCAGCCCCTCCCCTCACCCTGCAGGTCCCTCAGCACCGGCCGCCTCACCGACCTGCTCCTTAAGGCCGCCTTTGGGACACAGGCCCCTGATTCAAGCAGCATGGACAGCCTGCATGAGAAGCCCATGGAAGTCGGTGTGTGGTGGGGCCCGCGGGGGCGGTGGGGCGGGGCCGGAGGCCCTGAGCCCCGCCTCTCCGTCTCACAGTGCCCCCTGCTGGCATTGCAGGGAACCTGCAGCCAGGAGCCCGGGCTGGGGGCGCCAGCAGCCCCGCCCCTGTGGTGTTCACCGTGGGCTCGCCCCCCAGCGGGGCCACGCCACCCCAGGGGCCCCGCACCAGGATGTTCTCAGGTGAGGACTGCCACAGCGTCCCTTGCAGGTGGTTCGATGCTGGCCCGCCAAGACACCAGCTGCCCTTGTGGGGTCAGAGGCTCTGGGCTTGAGGCCCCAGGCTCAGCACCGGCCACACAAACAGGCCCCACAGCACAGCCTCTAGGCTTGAAGGTCCTGTAAAAGCGCGGGGGGCGGGCTAGGGGACCCCGGGAGGGGCGAGGCCTCCACTTGTGAGGAGAAGGATGTAAACTGAGGCCCAGCCGGCCAGAGGGGGTGGGGACAGGGTTTTGTGTCACCGAGTGGCTCTTAGGAACATGAGAGCACATCCTGAATTGGGGGCCTCTCCACAGTGGGCTCCTCCAGCTCACTCAGCTCGGCCGGCTCTGCCTCCGCCCGCCACCTGGTGCCTGGGGCGGGCAGCGAGGCCGCCCCCGAGGTCCTGGCCCCTGGGCACTGCTGCAGCTTTGCGGACCCCGTCACCGCCAACCTGGAGGGGGCTGTGACCTTCGAGGCCCCTGACCTCCCGGAGGAGACTCTCATGGAGGTGAGGGGGGCTGGGGACGGGCTGGAGTGCCTGAGCCTCCCTGCAGGGCTGGCGGGTGTTGGGCACGGGCTCTGAGGGGGAGGGGGCCTCTGCGGGTCTGTGGCCCCTGGAGCCTTCTGACCACACCGAGGCCTGGCGCCACAGCAAGAGCACACGGAGATCCTGCACGGCTTGCGCTTCACACTCGCCTTCGTCCAGCACGTCCTGGAGATCGCAGCCCTGAAGGGCAGCGCCAGCGAGGCGGCCGGGGGCCCGGAGTACCCGCTGCAGGAGAGCGTGGTGGCGGACCAGATCAGCCTGCTGAGCCGCGAGTGGGGGTGGGTGTGTCCGGGGGCCCGGGGAGGGGATCGGGTGGGGGCCTGGGCGGGGCCTCCCAGCCGCTGACACCTGCTGCCCTCCAGCTTCGCAGAGCAGCTGGTGCTTTACCTGAAGGTGGCCGAGCTGCTGTCCTCAGGCCTGCAGACCGCCATTGACCAGATCCGGGCCGGCAAGCTCTGCCTGTCGTCCACTGTGAAGCAGGGTGAGTGGGCTCCGCAGACCCGGGAGCTGCGAGGCGGGAGGCCGTGAGCTCAGGGAGGGATAGGTGACCGCGGGGAGAGTCTGAGGCGTGGAGCGGCGAGGAGGCCGCCTGGAGCGGGCCCCGCCCTGGGGGAAAGCGGCAGGGGCTCGGGGCACAGGAGGGCCCCGCGCGTGTCCTGGAGCTGACGGCCGCCCCCGCAGTGGTGCGGAAGCTGAACGAGCTGTACAAGGCCAGCGTGCTGTCCTGCCAAGGCCTGAGCCTGCGGCTGCAGCGCTTCCTCCTGGACAAGCAGCGGCTCCTGGACCGCATCCAGAGTGTCACTGCGGAGAAGCTCATCTTCAGCCACGCCGTGCACACGGTAGGCGGCGACATGGCCGCACTGGGGCGAGCAGTCACAGCGCGCAGCCCCCCCCGGCCAACAGACAGACGGCACACAGGCCCCTCAGCCCAGCAGGCTCCCCAGCCCAGGTGCAGCCCCGGCCACACCCTCCCAGAGACCCACCTTTCCCCACCAGCTAAATGAGAAGCCAGGCAGCTCCAGAAGGGGCCGAGGCCGGCCCCTCAGTGCGCTGCTACCGAGGTTTTGGGGTCCTTCCGCCCAAGAGCTGCCCCCGAGTCAGTGCCTGTCCCTGCCGGTTTTCATCTGCATAGTTGAAATGCACACCCAATAAAAGTTCAGGAGAGTCGCTCTCCTCTGCTGGGGCGCCACAGACCACGGGCAGTGGGGGTGGCTGCAGGTCGGTCCTGGAATCCTTGGCTGCCCTTTGCCCATAGAAGTCAGTTTGGACCCCTGCGTGACGCAGACGGGGCCTGACGCCCACGTGACCCGCGCAGGTGCAGTCGGCCGCCCTGGACGAGATGTTCCACCGGCGGGAGGACTGCGTCCAGCGCTACCACAAGGCCCTGCTGCTCATGGAGGGGCTGCAGCGGCTGCTGGCGGACCAGGCCGACGTGGAGAACGTTGCCAAGTGTAAGTGGCACCCTGCCCTCGTGGGGGAAGGGCAGTGGGCAGCGCCTCACGCACCCTCCCGCCCACAGGCAAACTGTGCATCGAGCGGAGACTCTCAGCCCTGCTGACCGGCTCCTGCGCCTGACCGCCAGTGCCCGCCCTGCACGCCCAAGGGCCGGACCTCCTCTACTGACCCGTGGGTGGGACTGCGTGCTGGCCAGGTGGGAAGGGACAGTCCTACAGCCTGGGCCCTGCTCCAGTGCCTGGCAAGGACCGTGTTTCCGCCCAGTGTCCAGAGTCAGGTCTCCAGCCACCTCTCCGTTTTCCCGGCTCTGGCTGGCGTTGGGCTTCAGGACACTGGAAGGCCTGCCCAGAACCTCAGCCCAGGCCGGTCCCCCGCTGCCTCGAGGGCAGGCAGGGACTTGTGGGCTTCCCCCTATCCCAGCTAGACCCAGAGCAGCCCCGCTGAGGACAAGCCGGGGCCCACTCAAGCCAAAGCTGCCAGACCTGCCCAAGGGCCCCACCCAGAAGAAGGCGCAGGCCCGGATCCCTCCCCTTCCCCGAGACCACCACCCAGCTTTGTGAATCACCGAGCACTTTATGCAGGCGGCCTGGCGCGGGGGCTGCCCGCTCAGCCCCGGTGTCGCACCAGCGGCACGTGTGCGCATCCGTGCACAGATGTGCACCCGCAAACCCCCCGTGCGCGCGCACCGTGCCTGCTGCCCGGGGCCACCCTCGGGAGACACAGCCGTCTTATTTAAATGTTCTCTTAGGGCCGCGCAGTACGAAGCACCGAGCTCTCTAAACCCAGGGCGGACGTGGCAGTCTTTCACACTTTACTCCTAAATGTGTCTTATTCTTCTGCAGCTGTTTCTTTTTGTTGTTGTTGTTGTTGTTTGTTGTTTTTTTTTTTTTTTTAAGAAGAAAACGCGTAGGTGTTTAGGAGGTTCTGTTTTGGAAGGGTGGGTGAGGGACAGAGTCGGACCGTCAGGTCAGGGAGACATGGGAGGCGGGTGGCGCCGTGCGCACGTGTGCCTGCGTGTGTCCAGCTGGCCTGCCATCCTGCCCTGTTAGGGCAGCCAGACCCCTTCTGCCCGCTCCCCACCTAAAGACAGTGGGCAGGTGAGGGAGGAGAGTGTTTTGTGCAAAAACCTTTCATCCAGTTTCATAGTAGGTTTACAGTAGGTTTTGATGTCAGATTCTCCCCAGCCAGCTCCTGGCTGCCATCAATGGGGTCAGAGAGAGGCCCACCTTCAGGGTTCCAGAGGGGCCATCCCAGTCTGCCCAGCTCTGCCTAGCTGTACCCCCGAAAGTGCAGAGGACCCGGGTGAGTTCAGGCTTCTGGCCAGGGTTTAAGGTCTACAACACAGACCCAGACAGATCTACACGTTTCTTTCTTTGTAATACTTGAAATACTGCCCTGTGCTTGGGCTTAGACGAAGAAGCCCTGTGGACTCTTTGCTCATCACCCGGTGACTTGACTTTTTCCTTGCTGCACGGAACATTTTCCTATTTATTGCTTTATGGTCGGCTTGAGTCCAGGGCCGCCAGGAGGCAGGCTCCACAGGAGGGGCCTCGAGCAGCTTCCCAGTCCCTCATGTAGTGACAGCCGGCTATGCCATGTGCCCAGGGCAGGTCTGGGGCCCCAGCCTCCTGGTGTGTGCTGCCAGCCAATCCTACTCTCAACGACACAGCACTCGACCCTCGATCTACTTTAAAAGGAATTTTGTGTGATTCCCCCACCTCCATTGTGTTAAATTGTGTCATATCAATTTAAGGAAATAAACCTTTGGAATTGTTGAGGCGGTGTTACTGATGATGCTTTTGTCACTTTCTCTGGTCTCTTGTCACCTGCTTTCTCACCCCCGTCCCCAGCATCTTGTAGCAGCACCTGGAGCTTGACTCTGTGCACGCAGTGTCCAGGCTCAGCTTAGGGAGCAAACCCCCAAAGCAAGGCTGGGCCTTTGTGGCTGTATTCCCCCGCCATGTCCCAGCAGAGTCTGCTTACCCAGACCTAGGGAGATGTCTGCCTCTCTCAGTTCTCCTGGGGATCACCTAAGGGGACTGTAGGTCATATGGCCACTCCTCGTTCGACTTACAAGGAACCAACACCAGGCTTGCCACAGCAGGCGCACCACTTCCGTCCCCCCGACCCCTGCAATGCAGGAGGGGCTGAGCTTTCTCCACATCCTCACCAGCGCTGGTCAGTCTCTGTTTTTTATTTTGTTCTTGCTGTGGCATAATTCACGTGTCCATGGCGAGTGACCTTGAGCATCTTTTTGTGTGCTTGTTGGCCATTTCTAGATATTTTTTGGAGAAATGTCTATTCATGTCCTTCGGCCATATTTCAATTGGCTGGTTTCTCTTTTCCATGTTGAGTTGGAGGGTTTGCATTTTTTTTTCAACTACATAATATTTTTATAAGTTAAAAATAGCTCATTGAACTACCAGAACGGTTAACCGCAACATGAAATGAAAGTTCATGTAGAGGTAGCAGTAGAGGAAGTGGAAGGCGGGGCTCGGAAGGCCGGCTCCCTGCGGCTGGCTCCTGGCTCCTGGCTCCCGGCTCCCGGCTCCCGGCCACAGCTCCAGTCCGGCTTCCTGAAGTGTGTGCACGCTCGACTCTGCAGACGGAAGGGCTGTGCCCGGTGCGGAGTGAGGCTGGTCTGCCCTTCCGCTCTGCGGGGTTGGGGCGGGGGGATGGCTCCTGCTATATTAGTAACAGGAAGAAATGCCCAAAGGGGATGAAGACAATCATGGCATTTTGTTGCTGAATTAACAGACCTTATTTTTACAGAAAAATCATGCAGAAAGTGCAGTTCCCATGCACCCCATTCTCCCGCCCCAGGCTCCCATTACAAACGCCTTACATTGGTGCGGTGGTTCGTTGTAATTGATGAACCTACACTGACCATCACAATCACCTAGAGTCCATACATTGGGGTCACTTGGTCACTTGGGGACATTCTGTGGGTTTGGACGAGCATGAATGACATGTATGTCATTACGGTGTCGTATAGAGTAGTTTCACTGCCCTACCTGTTCATTAGTCCGCCCCGGTCCCTGATCCTTTTCCTGTTCCCATAGTTCTGCTTTTTCCGGAATGTCACATAGCTGGAATCACACAGTACGGAGCCCTTTCAGAGGGCTTCTTTCACTTAGTAATATGCTTTCAAGGTTCCTCCATGTCTTTCCATGGCTTGGGAGCGCCTTTTTTTTTAGTGCCGGCTAGTATTCCACCATCTAGACGGACCACCTTTTACTTACCCACTCATCTTCTGAAGGACATCCAAGTGTTAGCAATTATGAACACATCTCCTATATATATCCCTGTGCAGAAGTCTGATGGTAAGGGGCGGGTCCAGGGATGCTGGGCCTGGGGAGACAGCAACCATGCGGGATGACCTTACAGTCCCTACCTGTTCCCAGCACGTTTATAGCGTGCCCAGGCCCGTGAGGGCCCCTCAGCCAGGAAAGTGGGCCCAGGCGCATTCCCAGCTCAAACTTTAGCCCCTGGGTGCCTGTCCCAACCCCATAGGCCTCAGACAGAGGTACAAGATCACCTGCTGTAGCTGGTGGGGTCAAGAAGGGAGCAGGTGTGGGGGTGCTCCGTGTCTAAGGCGGAGGTGCTCTGTGAGAAAGTGGCCGGATGCTTTCTAACGCTGCTTAGCCACCTGAGCTCACCAGGTCACAGGTGACCTTGGCTTTCTTCACTCCAGAAACCTGGAGATGCCTCTTTCTTCTGTTCTGCAGAGGGGAGGGCTGTCCCGGGGGAGTCATTTAGTGCAAGTGAGCTCTTTCTCCACGAGGCCTGACGTGCGAGTTATAGGAGACATGTCGGCGCCCACTGACCCACTTTCTGCCTCTAGTTTGCCTGTCCTGAACATTTCACACGTGGAATCACAGCATGTGGCTTTCGCATCTGGCTCTGTTTCCTGGGCATCACGTTTTCCAGTTCACCCACCTTGCGGCGGGGGTCAGTGCTTCTGATGCATCTTTCATGTGGCATTTATTACTTTATAACACACTATTATGGGACTGGTCGGTGTTGTCGTTATCCGTCTCCCTGGAGATGAATGCATTACCACGTGTAACCCGGGCAGAGCCGAGTGTTACTGTTAGCATGATTTATTCGGTCTAAGGAGCCGCGCGCAGCCGCATCCAGTGTCTCCAACCAGCCCAGAGTCTGCGGCAGAGAAGCCCCGCCCCAACCGCGCCTTAAAACACGCCCCATTTCGCCCCAGCGCCAAGCCCCGCCCCGCCCACCCCGTCCCCGTGCCAAGCCCCGCCTCGCCCCGGACTTTTGTCCGCGCCCGGCCACCGTCCGGCCCCAGGCTCCACTTCCGCCTTCGCCCACGTGGTCCGGCGGGGGTTCAGTGCACCGCGCCGTGAGTGGGGCTGGTTGGGGACGTGCCCCTCTGGTCCCGACCAGGGTGGCCAGGGTCTCCCCGACTTCCTAGGGGAAGCCGGCCGGGAGGGGCGGGAGGACGAGGGGGAACTGGGGTGGTTAGAGGTCAGCCTGCGGGTTAGCCGCGGGCGGGGCTGGAGCGCGGTGGGTCCCAGGGAAAGTCGAGGGTCAGGAGGGGCGGGGCTAGGCGTCAGAGGCCCGGGGGAGGTCAGGGGTCAGGCGCGTGCCCCCCGCTACTCCGGCGGTGCATGGGGTTCCCCAGCCTGCGGGCGGCGGCCGGGGTCCTGCGGAGAGCTTGCGGACCGTGGACGCCGCTCCTGGGACGGCGCCCCTTCGGGTAAAGACCGCGCCCTTGTCCCGGCCCGGGGTAGCTCGCGGGGCGCACGGCCTAGCCCCGATTCCCTAAGTGCTGTCCCTGCCCGGCGTCGCGGACTCTGAGACCAGCCCAGTGCCAGCCCGCAGCCGAGACTCCGCTCGGCTGTCAGCCCGGGGCGTGTGCCCCATGGTGCCGCCACCGTGTCACCCCAGCCCTGCAGCTTCTGTCTTGCTCACGCCGCGCCCGTCTTTCCAGTTTGCCCCCCATGGCCGGGAACGCGGAGTCCCCCGCTCCCGTGGGGGCCAGGCAGGAGCAGGACAAGAAGGTCCGGAGTGGGTGGCAGGGCGGAGCCAAGGTCTGGGAGGAAACCGAGCAGCAGGCCAAGAAGCTCAAGAGCAGCGCGGACGGGGAGCCGCGCAGGAAGCTGCCCAAGCGGAAGATCGTGCTGCTCGTGGCCTATTCGGGGAAAGGCTACCACGGCATGCAGGTGAGGGGCCTGGGCCCGCTCCGGCTTCTCGCGGGACCTCGGCGTGGCTTCGGTCGGGGCTTCGGAGTGATGATTGTCCAATGCGGTGGCCTCGGGCAGCGGCAGAAAACCCACTTTTCCAAGTTTCCGGGTCCCATCTAGCAAGATTGGGCTTCGAATCCAAGCAGCTTTGACCCTGCTCCAGCCACGGAAGAGCCTGTGCTGGGGGCAGGGGGCGTGCCCGTGTCACCAAAGTGGTCAAGGGCCCAGCTCTGCCGCTGACCAGCCTTGTGGCCCTCGACATGGGATTGAAGCTCTTGCGGCCTCGGTTTCTTCCTCTTGAAATGGGGGTGATCATAGCACCGACCTCCTGAAGCAGGAAGATTCACTAGGCTTTCTGACGCTGCATGCTGCTCAGAGTCAGCAGTTAGGATTTGTCAGATCCCTTGGTGTGGCCGTCTGGGCGGGCGGGCAGGCACTGTTAGAATTCTCTGCCCAGCCCACCAGTTTTTGACCCTTTTCTGAAGGGCAGAAGGGTTTAGGTGCCCCCAAATGCAGGTAACCTCTTGTTCCTTCTTGTAGTCAACTCTGTTTGAGTCAGCTGTCTTTAAGCCTGACTCACAATAAGAAATTCACTGCTATGTACTAGGATTTAACTGAAACAAGTTTAAGAAAACGATGCTTACACTTACACAGTTATAACTTTTACTCTGAATAATAGTAATACGATATTTTGTGTCCTATTTTATTTTTTTAAAAACGTGTGGGTTATACCTATGAAATTAACTTTGTGACCACAGGTAGATGTGACATTGGTTTGGAGAACACTGCTTCAGTGTGACGTGGCCCCAAGTGTTTGGAGGAATAGCCAGATGCGCCACCCCCCGCCGCCCGCCCGCTGCTCGTTGTGGGTGACTGAACTGAGTTTTTGAGGCTGGTTTTGATTACGTGCATTTTTGCCTTAGGCGCTGTCACAGGAAGGTTGAGACAATGTCCATCATCTTCCTTTTGCCTCAGCTTCCCCATTAGGGAAATGGGGGTGTGGAGAGGGACAGTAGGTCCCAGGGCTGACAGGACAGACTGAGATTGTGGGAGAGCTGTTATCCGTGC